CAGTTCTAGTTTACACCTGTCCAATAATCACATCATAGTCGACAAGGCTACCAAACCCACACAAGCATGCAAAAGCAAAATCAACTCATTCATCACGCATGCATCATGCAGAATGTAGTCAAATTAATGATTGATTGTGAAAATGCATATTAATTACATGTCGAATATTTGTTTGAAAATTATGCTACCATCCCCCAAACTTACACAGTACATTGTCCTCAATGTAAATGTAAAGTTAGAAAAGCATAATTTAAAAATATATACAAAACTTGGCAAATAGAGGTAAACAACACTCCCCTGATCAAAGTGGTGGTTGTGGTGTGTAGCTGGGACCCGCAGCATGATCTTCAGGAGGAGATGGAAGGTGAGATAGGATTTGTCTCATCAACTCTGTCTGCTGTGCTTGCTCAGCCTGAATGGATTGAAGCCTATTCTCCATACTTCCCAATCGATCCCAGGTTTCGTTCACTCGCCACTGTATGCCTTCCATTCTCCCAGCATACATGTTGAACCTACCATTCATGGTCTCCACTTCCCTTCGTGCCGCTGTGGCTTCATTCAAAGCACCCCTTGTGTAGTCCCGGGAAGAGTAGAGGTCTCTCTGCACTTTGTCAATAGTGGTAGCCATGGTCTCGAAACTCTGCTGGAGATGTTGTATGTCCCGGCTAGTTCCAGTGGTGGTGGCGAATATCTGCCTCAATACCTGATTGTCCATATCAACCTGGGGTGGTGGTGGAGGAATTTGAGGCATATCAAGGTCTGCATCTGCTTGACCTTCCTCATTCAATTACTGTCGTCGTCGTGCGTTTTCTAATTTCTATTGGTGCTTCAGTCTCGCTCGGTCTTGGGCCTCTAGTGTGGATTGCTTGATGAAGGGGCTTGGCTTTTCCGATGCTTCCCCAGGTTGAATTTGTATGCCTACTACTCGAGATATTCCACTTATCAGACTGGGAAAAATCAGAGAGTAGTGCCTATCACCCCAAGTGCTTGTACCCTGGATTTGGTTGTAGATGTGTGTGGCTAGATCAATCTTGTTTCCTCTAACCAAATGGTATATGAATTCGGCCTTTGGATTTGTAAATGTTGTTCTGTGGGATATAGGCTCGATGTTGTGGCACATGAATAAACATAAAATTGCTATGGATGGGGTGAGATCTATCTGATACCAGTCTGTTGTAGGTAGAGGCCAAGCGTTTTCACATCCCAACAAAATTTTAGCAACCTCATTCCAGTTGAAGTCTTCTAGGATAGGGACGACATTATTCCAGGATAAATGATAGTAGTCATGAATTACCTCTGGTGAGAACATAATCCACTTGCCCCTAACCCATGTCTGATGTAAGTGTTCCAATCCAGGAGTGTCGATTTCTGTGTTGAAATTTGCCTAAAACTCCTTTGCTAGATTCTCATACATCGGATGAGGTCTTTCTATCACCTTTTCCCAGCCACAGTTGTGAATCAGATATGCTATTTCAAAGTTGGGAAAATCTTCCAGCTTAACTGGCCTCTCAGGAATAATTGCCCAATCACGCACAACATTGGCGTATCGGGCTACTGTATCCGATGAAAGGAATCTTCTAACACCCCCTTCGGGTTCTCTTATTTGGGCCGTTCCAAATAAGGAGCCGACTTTCTCTTTTCCCTTTGAAGTACTTTTAGGAGGCATCCTGAAAAAGGAAGTACACAATATCAATCACTTGGTATAGGAATAATGGGCATTAATAATCTTTGAATTCATAATCTCCCAAACTTTCTTCAACATGCACATGTACGTGTGCTTATGCAATTTTTCAAAACATGAATCATCAATATATCTCTAACATTGCATAAGTATGAAAAACTCAAAATTATGGCTCGAACATGCATTTTTAGAAAATTTGACCCATGACCAAGTGACCAACTTCAGCCCCGGGCATCACCGAGAAATAACAAAATTTTCCCGGGCAAGTTTTGGACATGTGAAAGTACTCAATGACATCTAGCATATATCCAAATTTCACCTTAATTGGAGGTCGTTTGCATAAGAAAACATAGGGACGAAGGTAGTGACGTGAGTGAATAAGGTTAGCCATGAAGTGCCTTTGTGAATTCAAATGTTAGGGTAGTGGTTTTCAAATGAAATATCACATGATTGTTCAGCAAAAACGCTACACAATAACGATGTAAACTATTGCATAAGTGAAAAATCCAAGAATTCAAATCATGCATCAATGTGGCGTTTCGTCGAACATGTGGTGTGCAATGTTAGTTTCTTCCTATTTCTTAAACAACCCTACCATGAAATTTTCCCAATTCACAACACCATACCAATAAATCATTACACATTCTAACTAATTCCACACATTGAAACAAAATGTGGAAATGAAGCTCGAAATAAATTGGGATTAGAACTCGTACCTTGGCTTGACAAGTTGGAATCTTGATTTGTTTCACTAAAGATGAATATCCAAGCACTTGTGTGATGAGTGTGTGCAAGTGAATGGGTGAAGTGGGAGATTGGTCTCAAGTGTGAGTGAGAGGGGGGAGGAACTTGGGGTTTAATTGTGTGGTCACGGGTTAAAACCCGTGACCACTACACTATGCAGTCGCATAGTGCAAACAATTTCCCCCGGTTGGATTTCGGATGTTGGTCTCTACGGCCGCATAGACCAAATTGGGTGTATTATTATTATTATTATTTATTTTTTTTAAATCAATCCATGACTGAAAATTTAAACTGCCCCGAAATCGGTTTTTCACTTAAAAATTTTGACTCGCCTCGCCTATATTCCAAAAAAATTGAAAATCTTGACTTGAAAAGAGGAATATGCTTATCGAAAACTTGGCACCAAAATCGATTTTTCATAAATGTTGTCCCGCATTCTGAAAGCTTAACCAAAACGAACATCTTCGCACATCGGAATGCGTGACACACACTCGAACATACAAACACTTCATTTAGCACCCATTCATGCAACATTAAACGTGTAGTGCCTAGGCTATCATGCAAAATATGATCGATGACCTACGAAACAAACTAAACTCAAACAAATTCCTAAACTAATGCAATGCAATAAAATAAATTTAAGGATACAGTGGGTTGCCTCCCACTCAGAGCTAGGTTATAGTCGATAGCTCGACTTCACCGTATTGCATTATTCTGGCGATCCAAGATGGACGGTAGACTTGTCCTTTGAGAAATCACCACCCCAATAGTGCTTCAAACGCTGTCCATTAACTTTGAATGTCCCCTTGCTGTCGTGAGTGATCTCAACCGCTCCATGTGGAAACACTTGTGTAATGGTATATGGACCAGACCATCTCGATCTCAATTTTCCTAGAAACAGTTTAAGCCTGGAGTTGTAGAGTAGCACTTTTTGCCCCACCTTAAAGTCACGCCTCTGGATATGCATGTCATGCCATTTCTTGGTGTGCTCTTTGTAGATCTTTGAGTTCTCGTAGGCTTCCATTCTGAGCTCATCCAGTTCATTCAGTTGTAACAGCCATTTTTCACCAGCAGCTTTCAAATCCAAGTTCAACTTCTTCATTGCCCAGTAGACATGATGTTCGATCTCAAGAGGTAGGTGACATGCTTTCCCAAAAACCAGTCGATATGGTGACATTCTTATAGGGGTCTTGAATGCAGTCCTGTAGGCCCACAAGGCATCATCCAGTTTCTTTGACCAATACTTTCGTGATGAGTTGACTGTGACTTCGAGTATTCGCTTCAATTGCCTATTGGATACTTTGACCTGTCCGCTGGTTTGGGGATGGTATGTGCTGGCTATACGGTGCTTAAAGCCATATTTCGCAAACAACTGCTCGAACTGACAATTGTAGAAATGTGTGCCCCCATCACTGATTATGGCTCTTGGTGTTCCAAATCGGGTAAAAATGTTCTTCTTTAAAAACTCAATCACCACTTTCCCATCATTAGTAGGTAGTGCAACAGCCTCGACCCACTTCGATACATAAGCCACAGCCACTAATATGTATTGATTTGAAAAAGATGGTGGAAATGGTCCCATGAAGTCGATCCCCCAGACGTCGAATAATTCCACCTCTAAGATACTATTCAAAGGCATCTCATTTCTTCTAGATATGTTACCTGTGCGCATACATCGGTCACACCTTTTCACAAATTCAAAAGCATCTTTAAAGAGTGTAGGCCAGTAAAAACCTGATTGAAGAATCTTCGTAGCTGTTTTTGAAGCACCAAAATGCCCTGCATATATAGATGAGTGACAGTTTTCTAATATCAAAGGCACCTCTTCTTCTGGTACACAGCGATGAACAATTTGATCAGCCCCCTGCCTGTAGAGAATGGGATCTTCCCAAAAATAATACTTCAATTCAGTGAAGAATTTCTTCTTCTGGTGACTTGAATAATCTGGCGGTATGATAGACCTGGCTAAATAGTTAACTATATCTGCATACCAGGGTATTTCCATCACACCAAAAATCTGTTCGTCTGGGAAGATTTCGTTTATTTGCACTGTCTCTGTCCGTTCTGTGTCCTCAAGCCGAGATAGGTGGTCCGCCACCACGTTTTCACTGCCTTTCTTATCCTTAATTTTCAAGTCAAACTCTTGAAGTAGTAATATCCAACGAATGAGACGTGGCTTAGCATCCTTCTTTTCCATTAAGTACCTGATAGTGGCATGATCTGTGTAGACTATGACCTTCGACCCCACAAGGTATGATCGAAATTTGTCAAATGCATAGACTACAACAAGAAGCTCTTTCTCTGTAGTGGCATAATTTAACTAAGCATCGTTCAAAGTCTTACTTGCATAGTAGATCACGTGAAATACCTTATTCCTTCGTTGACCCAACACGGCTCCCACTGTATAATCACTGGCGTCACACATTAATTCAAATGGCAGATTCCAATCCGGTGTGATAATTATAGGTGCTGAAGTCAACTTCCCTTTCAAAGTGTTAAAGGCTTGCAGACACTCATCAGTAAACTCAAATGTGGATTCCTTCATCAATAAACAGCACAGAGGTTTGGTAATTTTTGAGAAATCCTTGATGAATCTTCTATAGAACTCTGCATGACCAAGAAAACTACGAACACCTTTTACTGATGTAGGTGGAGGTAGTTTCTCGATTACTTGAATCTTTGCTCTATCCACTTCAATGCCCTTCACCGAGATTCGATGCCCTAGTACGATGCCTTCTTGTACCATAAAGTGACATTTCTCCCAATTCAACACCAAGTTGGTCTTCGTACACCATTGTAGCACAAGACTTAGATGCTCCAAGCACTCATCAAATGAAGATCCAAACACAGAGAAGTCATCCATGAATACCTCGATGAATTTCTCAATCCTGTCTGAGAAAATAGCCATCATGCAGCGCTGAAAGGTAGAGGGAGCGTTGCATAATCCAAATGGCATCCTTTTGTATGCAAAGGTGCCATAGGGGCAAGTGAAAGTGATCTTCTCCTGATCATCTGGTGCCACTGGAATCTGATTATACCCGGAGTACCCATTTAGGAAACAGTAATGTGAATGTCCCGCTAATCTCTCCAACATCTGATCAATGAACGGTAATGGAAAGTGATCCTTTCGAGTAGCTGTGTTAAGTTTACGGTAGTCAATGCAAACTCTCCATCCAGTCACTGTCTGTGTAGGAATCAACTCATTTTTCTCATTTTCTATCACCGTGATTCCTCCTTTCTTGGGGACAACTTGCACCGCACTGATCCATGCACTATCTGATATTGGATAAATAATGCCTGCATCGAGCAACTTTAATACCTCAGCTCTAACCACTTCCTTCATGTGTGGATTCAATCTCCGCTGCCCATCAATGCTTGGTTTGAATTTTTCCTCCATGAGTATCTTATGCATGCATATAGACGGGCTGATCCCTTTGATATCTGCGATTGACCATCCAATGGCTGTTTTATTATCCCTTAGCACTCGAAGTAATTTCTCTTCCTCTACCTCACTGACAGTGCTTGATATAATAACCAGTAGTGTAGAAGATTCCCCCAGGTACGCATATCGAAGATGTGGTGGCAGTTGTTTGAGTTCCAATTTGGGAGGTTTCACAATAGATGGCACTGATTTTGCAGTCCTAGTTCCCAGCTCTTCATAGCAGCGTCTGCGCATATATGGCTGTTTACTCTCCAAAAATCGAGCACATGTCTCAATCTCACTTGAATCAGAATGGGTGGATTGTGAATGTGCAATGCATGCCTCGTATGCATCGGAAGGATGATGTAGCCGAAATGTGTCTTGAAATATTCGATCGACTACATCGATCTGGAAACAACTATCTGACTCAGTAGGGAATTTCATTGCTTTGAACACGTTGAATGAGATTTGCTCGTCACCAAGCCTCAATATCAGCTGCCCCTTCTAAACATCTACAATCGCTCTCCCAGTGGCTAAGAAAGGTCGCCCTAAAATGAGTGGAACATCCTTATCTTCTTCCATGTCCAAGATAAGAAAATCGGCTAGAAATATGAACTTCTCCACTTTTACCAGCACGTCTTCAATGATTCTTCTTAGATGTGTAAGGGATCTATCTGCTAACTGCAATGTCACTGTTGTGGCTTTTGCTTCTCCCAAGCCGAGTTTCCTGAAAATAGAAAGAGGCATTAGATTAATACTTGCACCCAAATCACACAAAGCTTTATCAAAATGATAGTCTCCAATAGTGCAAGGTACAGTAAAACTCCCTGGATCTTTCAGTTTTGGAGGTAGCTTTCTCTGGATTCTGGTGCTGTATTCCTCAGTCAACATTATTGTTTCGTGTTCTTCTATCTTTCGCTTGTTGGAGAGGATATCCTTCAGGAATTTTGCATAGCTCGGCATCTGGACAAGTGCTTCAGCAAATGGGATGTTGATGTGCAGTTTCTTGAAGACTTCAAGGAACTTACTGTATTGCTGATCCATTTTATGCTTTCTCACCCTTTGTGGAAACGGAATAGGAGGCTCATGAGGGTTAACAGGATTAGTATTTTTACCCTATGATGTCTTGGAATTCCTCTTAACCTCATCTCCGGTTGCATTGTCAATTTGCTCCACAATTTCTTCCTCCAAGGTTGGCGTTGATTCCTTGTTGGCTCCCAAACTTTTTACATGTGGTTCCGCCAGTTGTACTCCACTCCTGGTTGTTATAGCCTTTGCATGTTCCTTAGTGTTAATTTCAGTATTGCTGGGTAGGCTTCCCGGTGCTCTACCCGTCATGGAAATTGCCATCTGTCCAACTTGTGTCTCTAAGTTCTTGATCGCTGCACTTTGATCTTGAAGCGTTGTTTCCGTCCTTCGCATAAATTGGTTATTGGCTTCCATGTACTGATTGGTTTGTGCCATAAATTTCTCGAACATATCCTCTAATGGTAGCTTTTTAGCGTATTAACTTCCATGTACTGATTGGTTCATTTTTGGTGAATTGCTAGTCTAAATTGATTAGAATCGAGCCAATGAAAAGTGGCTTTTGATTTCATGATAACTTTGAGTTTGTTCATTTTTGGCGAATTGCATGTCTAATTCGATTGTAATCGAGCCAAAGAAAAGTGGTTTTTCGTTTCATGATAACTTTGGGTTTGTTCATTTTTTGGCGAATTGCTAGTCTAAATAGATTTGAATCGAGCTAATGAAAAGTTGATTTTGATTTCGTGATAACTTCGGGTTTGTTTGTTTTTGACGAATTTCTATCTAATTTGATTGGAATCGAGCCAAAGAAAAGTGGATTTTCATTTCATGATAACTTCGTGTTTGTTCGTTTTCGGAGAATTGCTAGTCCAATTCTATTGGAATTAAGCCAATGAACAGTGGCCTTCGATTTCATGATAACTTTGGGTTTGTTCGATTTTGGCGAATTGCTAGTCTTAATCGATTGGAATCGAGCCAATGAAAAGTGCCTTTTGATTTCATGATATCTTCGGGTTTGTTCGTTTTTAGTGAATTGCTAGTCTAATTCGATTGGAATCGAGTCAATGAAAAGTGGTTTTTCATTTCATGATAACGTCGGGTTTGTTCGTTTTTGGCGAATTGCTAGTGCAATTCGATAGGAATCGAGCCAATGAAAAGTGGCTATTGATTTCATGATAACTTCGGGCTTATTCGTTTTTGGCGAATGCTAGTCCAATTCGATTGGAATCAAGCCAATGAAAACTGGCTTTTGATTTCATGATAACTTCAGGTTTGTTCATTTTTGGCTAATTGCTAGTCTATTTCGATTGGAATCGAGCCAAAGAAAAGTGATTTTTCATTTCATGATAACTTCGGGTTTGTTCGTTTTTGGCGAATTGCTAGTCTAAATTGATTGGAATCGAGCCAATGAAAAGTTGTTCTTCATTTCATGATAACTTCGGGTTTGTTCATTTTTGGCAAATTGCTAATTAAATCGATTGGAATCGAGCAAGTGAAAAGTGGCTTTTGATTTCATGATAACTTCGGTTTGTTCGTTTTTGGCGGATTGCGATCTAATTCGATTGGAATTGAGCCAACGAAACGTGGCTTTTGAATTCACGATAACTTCGGGTTTGTTCGTTTTTGATGAATTTCTAGTCTAAATAGATTGGAATCGTGCAAGTGAAAAGTGGCCTTTGATTTCATGATAACTTCGGTTTATTCGTTTTTGGCGAATTATTATCTAATTCGATTGGAATCAAGCCCATGAAAAGTGACTTTTGATTTCATGATAACTTTAGGTTTGTTCATTTTTGGCGAATTGCTAGTCTACTTCGATTGGAATCGAGCCAAAGAAAAGTGGTTTTTCATTTCGTGATAACTTCGGGTTTGTTCATTTTTGGCGAATTGCTAATCTAAATCGATTGGAATCGAGCCAATGAAAAGTGGTTCTTCATTTCATGATAACTTTGGGTTTGTTCATTTTTGGCGAATTGCTAGTCCAATTCGATTGGAGTCGAGCCAATGAAAAGTGGCTTTGATTTCATGATAACTTTGGGTTAGTTCAGTTTTAGCAAACTGCTAGTCTAATAAGATTGGAATCGAGCCAAAGAACGGTGGTTTTCCATTTTATGATAACTTCGGGTTTGTTCCATTTTGGCGAATTGCTAGTCTAAATCGATTGGAATTGAGCTAATGAAAAGTTGATTCTGATTTCATGATAACTTCGGGTTTGTTCATTTTTGGCGAATCGCTAGTCTAATTCGATTGGAATCGAGCCAATGAAAAGTGGTTTTCCATTTCATGATAACTTTGGGTTTGTTCATTTCTGGCGAATTGCTAGTCCAATTCGATTGGTATCGAACTAATGAAAAGTGGCTTTTGATTTCAAGACAACTTCGTGTTTGTTCATTTTTGGAGAATTACTAGTCTAATTCGATTGGAATTGAGCCGAAGAAAAGTTGTTTTTCATTTCATGATAACTTCGGGTTTGTTCGTTTTTGGCGATTTGCTAGTCTAAGTCGATTGGAATCGAGCAAATGAAAAGTGGCTTTTGATTTCATGATAACTTTTGATTTGTTCATTTTTGGCGAATTGCTATCTAATTCGATTGGAATCGAGCCAAAGAAAAGAGGTTTTTCATTTCATGATAAGTTCGGGTTTGTTCGTTTTTGGCAAATTGTTAGTCTAATTCGATTGGAATCAAGCGAAAAAAAGTGGTTTTTCATTTCATGATAACTTCGGGTTTGTTCATTTTTGGCGAATTGCTAGTCTAATTCGATTGGAATCGAGCTAATGAAAAGTGGTTTTTGATTTCAGGATAACTTTAGGTTTGTTCATTTTTGGCGAATTGCTTGTCTATTTCGATTGGAATCGAGCCAAAGAAAAGTGATTTTTCATTTCTTGATAACTTCGGGTTTGTTAGTTTTTGGCGAATTGCTAGTCTAAATTGATTGGAATCGAGCCAATGAAAAGTTGTTCTTCATTTCATGATAACTTTGAGTTTGTTCATTTTTGGCAAATTGCTAATTAAATTAATTGGAATTGAGCAAGTGAAAAGTGGCTTTTGATTTCATGATGACTTCGGTTTGTTCGTTTTTGGCGAATTGCGATCTAATTTGATTGGAATTGAGCTAATGAACAGTCTCTTTTGAATTCATGATAACTTCGGGTTTGTTCATTTTTGACGAATTTCTAGGCTAAATAGATTGGAATCGTGCAAGTGAAAAGTGGCCTTTGATTTCATGATAACTTCGATTTATTCATTTTTGGCGAATTGTTATCGAATTCGATTGGAATCGAGTCAATGAAAAGTGGCTTTTGATTTCATGATAACCTTAGGTTTGTTCTTTTTGGCGAATTGCTAGTCCACTTCAATTGGAATCGAGCCAAAGAAAAGTGGTTTTTCATTTCGTGGTAACTTCGGGTTTGTTCATTTTTGGCGAATTGCTAGTCTAAATCGATTGGAATCGAGCCAATGAAAAGTGGTTCTTCATTTCATGATAACTTTGGGTTTGTTCATTTTTAGCTAATTGCTAGTCCAATTCGATTGGAGTCGAGCCAATGAAAAGTGGCTTTTGATTTCATGATAACTTTGGGTTAGTTCGTTTTTGGTAAACTGCTAGTCTAATTAGATTGGAATCGAACCAAAGAACAGTGGGTTTTCATTTCATGATAACTTTGGGTTTGTTCATTTTTGGCGAATTGCTAGTCTAAATCGATTAGAATCGGGCTAATGAAAAGCAGATTTTGATTTCATGATAAGTTCGAGTTTGTTCATTTTTGGTGAATTACTAGTCCAATTCGATTGGAATCGAGCAAATGAAAAGTGGGTTTTCAATTCATGATAACTTCGGGTTTGTTCATTTTTGGCGAATTGCTAGTCCAATTCGATTGGAATCCAGCCAATAAAAAGTGGCTTTTGATTTTATGATAATTTTGGGTTAGTTCGTTTTTGACGAATTGCTAGTCTAATTTAATTGGAATCGACCCAAAGAACAGTGGTTTTACATTTCATGATAACTTCGGGGTTGATCCTTTTTGGCGAATTGCTTGTCTAAATCGATTGGAATCGAGCTAATGAAAAGTTGATTTTGATTTCATGATAACTTCGGGTTTGTTCATTTTTGGCGAATTGCTAGTCTAATTCGATTGGAATCGAGTCAAAGAACAGTGGTTTTTCATTTCATGATAACTTCGGATTTGTTCATTTTTGGCGAATTGCAAGTCTAAATCAATTGGAATCTAGCCAATGAAAAGTTGATTTTGATTTCATGATAACTTCGGGTTTGTTCGTTTTTGGCGAATTGCTAGTCTAATTCGATTGGAATCGAGGCAAAGAAAAGTGGTTTTTCATTTCATGATAAGTTCTGGTTTGTTCATTTTTGTCAAATTTGTAGTCCAATTCGATTGGAATCGAGCCCATGAAATGTGGAGTTTGATTTCAGGATAACTTCGGGTTTGTTCGATTTTGGCAAATTGGTAGTCCAATTCGATTGGAATCGAGCTAAAGAAAAGTGGGTTTTCATTTCCTGATAACTTTGGGTTTGATCGTTTTTGGTGAATTGCTAGTGTTAATAGATTGGAATCGAGCCAATGAAAAGGGGCTTTTGATTTCAAGATAACTTCGGGTTTGTTTGTTTTTGGTGAATTGCTAGTCTAATTCGATTAAAATCGAGCTAAGAAAAAGTGGTTTTTCATTTCATGATAACTTCGGGTTTGTTCATTTTTAGCGAATTACTACACAAAATATATTGGAATAAAGCTAATGAAAAGGGGCTTTTGATTTCAAGACAACTTCGTTTTTGTTCATTTTTGGCGAATTACTAGTCTAATTCGATTGGAATCGAGCCAAAGAAAAGTTGTTTTTCATTTCATGATAACTTCGGGTTTGTTCGTTTTTGGCGATTTGCTAGTCTAAATCGATTGCAATCGAGCAAATGAAAAGTGACTTTTGATTTCATGATAACTTCGAGTTTCTTCATTTTTGACGAATTGCTATCTAATTCGATTGGAATCTAGCCAAAGAAAAGAGGTTTTTCATTTCATGATAAGTTCGGGTTTGTTCATTTTTGGCAAATTGCTAGTCTAATTCGATGGGAATCAAGCTAAAAAAAGTGGTTTTTCATTTCATGATAACTTCGGGTTTGTTCATTTTTGGCAAATTGCTAGTCTAATTCGATTGGAATCGAGCTAATGAAAAGTGGTTTTTGATTTCAGGATAACTTCGGGTTTGTTCATTTTTGGCAAATTGCTAGTCTAATTCGATTGGAATCGAGCTAATGAAAAGTGGTTTTTGATTTCAGGATAACTTCGGGTTTGTTTGTTTTTGGCGAATTGCTAGTCCAATTTGATCGAAATTGAGCCAATGAAAAGTCGCTTTTGATTTCATGATAACTTCGGTTTAGTTCATTTTTGACAAATTGCTAGTCTATTTC